TAATTTATATTTATTTCCTAATTTTTATGGTGGTTGTGATATTGTCAAATCTACCAAACCCACACATAGATTAAATTCTGAAAAAAAGAGATAAAATTCAAATTTTTTCTTAAGAAACGTTTGACATTATAAAGATTTCGCATGTGAAATTTGGAAATATTCTGATACATAAAAGTATTTTTAATCTTAAAATGAAAATTACTTTGCATGGTAGATAGGGAACATTTGAAAAGAAAAAAAAAGGCATAAGAGAAACATCGCTTTAAAAACCTTAAGACTTAATAATAAAAAAATATATTTTGCGCATAAAAGCATTGTACTGTTTACTAATAATCTGCCAGATTTCGTTAACATTCGCTTACTAATTTAAAAGTTATAGCATGAAAACTATAACAACAAAATTGTGCCGAAATAGTTCACCCTATCGCGACGGGTTACGAGTCAAAGGCCATGTCATATCGTTTGTTGACTTTTTTATTGTACATTTTGAACACAATTTTATTGAACTACTATTTTATGAATTTATGTCAATAAGTTTGGTATCAAATTGTACATTATAATTCAAATTTTAGTATTATACGTTAGCTAATGTCTTAATAGAAAGTAAATATTGAAAGATTGATTTTTGTATATCATGTGGTATGTTGAATGCAGCACTGGTTAAAATTAGGTGTTTTTGACAACAAAATACAAAATATATAGTTTCGTACAAATTAGGAACTCAGACTACCGATATTAAAAAGCTAGAATATAAAATAACAACCTCTTATCTTTTCTATATGCTGAGATATTGCTCATGTACTGAATCAGACACATTCGCCCCCCCCCCCTCCACCCACCTCTTTGCCCTCAATCCGATCTAGCACGGTAGGAATTTAGGTTAAAGTATATTTCATTTCCCGAAGGTCAGAAACTTCTGTTTCTCTTCACCCCACTACATAATTTGAATTAACTGTCGGAGGCTTTTAAGAATTAAATGCTTATATGAATGAAAGTTTAACACTTAATTTTCCTAATGACGAATTCACAAGCCATGGGATGAGCTGAGAGGAGACGTGGAAAAGAAGAGAAAGAAGAAGACCTTTGCTGAGTTGAATGTTGTCTTCGGAAGTTTTCTTTCAGTGGGACCCGTGCGTCGGATGACCACGTGGCTAAGGAATTCGTAACGTCATGCGTTGGAGAGCTGAGCGGTGTAGAACAGAGCAGGGAGATGCAGATCGAGTGCGTCCGTTGTTGTATAAAATATTAAAAGTAAAATGATTTAAGAATATTTGGCTAGGATTTGAGGATAAGAATTTTAACATTAGTTGTGAACTTTAATATTACATTTAGCATGAGATGATCATTTTCAGGGCTGGGATCGAGGGATCCAAAGCATAAGGAAAAATTTGACTGTGGGGGGAGAACGAGAGTACCCCGAGAAAACCCACTTTCACGGCCAGGGCGCCGAATAAAATACCCTGACCTTGCCCCGGAAAAAACATAATATTAGTTTTCTTGGCTTGAATTATCTGTGGCTACAGGTGGTGCTTGAAGGCTAGAACAGGCTGGCTAGGTGAAGAGGTGACTTGAATCTGTGTACACTCAGGTCGTTATTTAGCTGGACTGGGCTGTGGTGATTAGTGGAAGGAACGGCGTCTTGAGTAACGGGATGGTGCTAGGTGATGTGGAGGCTTCGGTTGGTAGTGCGTCTGACGTTTTTGAAGTGGGTCAGACTATTGGAGTCTGTATCTTCCGTCTGGATTCTTCGGTCCTTTTTGGCAGTTCTGGTCTGTGTTTCTTGGTGGATAAGAAAACGGCCGTCAGTAGAAGTAGGGGCGTCACACTTGGTTGACAGAGGAAACATGGTTTATGTTTGCTGTGAAGTTATCTGGAGGTTGGTTGTTTGAGTGTTAGCCATGTTTCCTCTATCAACCAAGTGTGAAACAAACAGGCAGACATAAACACTCAAACAACCAACCTCCAGATAACTTCACCCAACCATGTTTCCTCTATCAACCAAGTGTGAAACAAACATTTATGTCTGCTGTGAAGTTATCTAGAGGTTGGTTGTTTGTGTTGGTGTTTGTTTTCACAGTTGTTTTCTGGTGGTGATTGGCGGTTTTGTCTCGGGATTGGGTGTGGCGGCAAGAACAGGATACTGTCGATTTTGATGTGTACTGGGCTTGAAAGATCTGGTTATGGTGTCGCTGTTTTCAGTGATTAGGTGTCTTTTTTTTTTGGTCTTTCGGCTGTAAAGTGGAAGAAGTAGTAAGATAGGCCGTGAGTTAGAAGATATTGTTCTGTAGTTTTAAAATCTGTGACTATTTTGATGAATCGAGTCGGTTGGCCTGTAATTCTTGATTTAATTCCGTGCACTGCATGGATTGTGAAGTTAGGTATGGCAAGGAGGCTATACTTGATGTCTTCAGGGGACATAGACAGATCGACGTTTCTCAGAAAGACAGAAAAAAGTTGAGCATTATTTCGAGGTGGTTTACAAAATACTCGCGAGTTCCATGGGATACATAGATAATCTGAGTCTTCGGGGGTGAGGGGTTGAATAAAAATTATTCCCCTTCTTAACAGTTTCGTCTTGGACAGGTCGATAGCAGCGTTGGGTTTGTATTTTCTTAGGAAAATATTTATCCTATTAACCCGATGAGTACCGGTACTAACTTTCTTAGTAGGCAATGTAAGTGTGCATTTGTGAATTGAAAAATGATAGAGAAGTTATCTTTTAATGGATTTCTGATTTTATTTTTATAAATAGTAGCATAACATTCAATTATTTGTACAAAAATGTATTCTTTAATGAAGTTTAAAGAGGAATTTAATGAAAAGATTCCTAAAATACCTTTTAGACTGTGAATAAGCGCCCTCTAAGAAGAAATGTTTTTTTCAAAAATTTTTTTTAAGATATTCCCTTTCACCTCAGCACTGGTTCTGCCATCTATGATTGGTACCTAAACCATTTTCTAGTCTGTTTTGTTTATAAAACTGCGTCTGGGCGTGTTAAACCTCAGTTGTAAAACTTTTAGCCAATCCTATTCGAAAGTGTCAATTTCAGTACCAATTATTCCAATTGCTGTATCTCCCAGTTGACAAATCATAGGATGATAAGGAAAGCACGTGATGAAACGCTGTTCTCTGGATTTTACAATATGAATGAGGGTGGTGCTTATTATAGTAACTGCCATTTTATGTAGAAGTTGTATTTAGTACTGGCCAATAGGGCTTTTCTATAAGCGTTAGAAAAGTTGTTTTTGGAAAAAACTGCATGGGATATACGTGACTTTATTTTTCTTATATAGTAGCTTAAGTCATGCTGCATGGTATATCTGTTTATATTAACCTGATGACTACCGGCTACTAACTTTCTTAGTAGGCAATGCAAGTCTTGCTATATTTCATTCCAACAATAAAACTAGTGGACGAATATTTTCGAAAATTCATAAATACTTTGACAAATGTAGGTAGTTTAAGAAACATAAACCCTATTACTTTTAATAAATTTAG